ACGGGAACAAGGCTTAAACTTGCACAGCAGTTTTCAACTTTCAATCTTGGTGCTGATGGTTAGAGCAAACACGCACACTTTTCCTTTAGAAGTGAGGTGAACTACTGGTGGACTAGAAATGGGATTTATACCTTTGAAATCACTCGAGGACAAAAAAAAAGCAAAGGAGACATATACTTCGTTTTGTAAAAAGAGCAAAATAAAACCCAGTAAGAAGACGACGATAAGGCAGCCCAAACATGATGGAAAATAGCAGCAAACATAACATAATAAATGTCAATAGAGCACATTCTTCCACTAAAATATCATAGTCATTGGGGTTGTAACCATGCGACACTGTACATGACATCAAGTTCCCCACTGGAGAAGGGGGAAATACGTTTTGTTACATCTGTGAAGGGAATATTATGGAGCTAAGTCCATATTTTCAAATAATATTAAATGACCTTGGAAATGATAACCAGTTAAGTAAAAAAAAAAAAAGCAAGACAATTACATATAAAGGATGGTTCTAATTTTTTGAAAGCCAAAAATGCATTGACAGTCATTTTCTTTGGGTACTGAAATTTGGGGGTGATTTTGCATTTTCTTTCTTCGTTGCCTTTTATTTGTATTTCTCTGTTTTCTAAATTTTCTACCATGAAGATGTATTCCTTTTGTAACCCCCAAACACACACTAAATTGGTCATTCCAGAGCATGAGGCTACTTATTTTCCTAATGATCACAGCCAGCGCCTTACCTGTGTGTGAAACCCAAGAATCTCTCTGGAAGAGAAATCCCTTGTGTGTGTGGAACTGATCCCCGCAAGCCCTGCTGTCCCTCTCCAGCTCTTGGAGACCCACAAAGAGACAAATCGGAGTCGGCCACGTTCAGGGGGACGTTGACTCAGGCTTCCACACTCCTCCCCTCCCTCCACGTATGGCCTTCGTCCTCCTGGTGTGGCCCCACTGCAGGTGGGCGCTGCTGGCCCGGCGGGCCGTGGCCCCGCTCGGGTGCCTGGCTGGCTCCCATGAGCTCACTAGAGCCGGCTGTGCCCCCCTCTTCCCAGCCCCACACCCCGGGACATGACTTGGCTAGTCTGCCATTGGCCATTGTGGAAGTATTTACACCATGGTAATCAGCAAATGCTAGAAATTAGGGCCTCCTCCTCCTCCACCAAAAACCGGTTTGTTTGACACGTGTAAAGTGTCACCCCACTGCCTGGTGTCCAGCAGCTGGTGCCTGGGAGGGGGCGACCTCTAAAGTGTGGTCCATGGCCCAGTGGCTTTGACTGGCATCACTAAGGAGCTTGTGGGAAGCTCAGAATCCTGCCCTCCTGCGGGTGGGTATCTCAGCGAGAACCCCTGGGGGTGGGGCCCAGCAGTTCACCAAGACCTGAGGCTAGAGAGGAGCGGCAGGGGCTCTGGGTGGGAGGGGGACACCCAGGCTTAGAGTGTCATTGTCCTGTGGCACGATCGGGTAGCCTTTGATTTTCCCCTCTTTATGGTTCAAATATCACATAGAGAAAAGTTAGGGGTAAAAAAAATCCGTATTTCCAGCAGCCACACAACTGTTCTTACTTGTCCATGTCTCTCCCACGACTTGAATTAGTGCTTAATAGAAAAGCCGGCCCCTGGCACGTTTTTTCCCTGTGTATCAGTATGCAGCACATTTGCATCCTGAAGTCCTGCCGAACCACTTAGACTTTGGCATGATCGCTAAGCCCTGCTGACTTTTTCGAGAAGAGATTTTGTGCGGTTCCTTCAGCGGCCCTTCCCCCCGCCTCCAGCCGGCATGCTGTACAGAGGTGGCGGGTATCTGGCATGTAATCTGCAGCATTAACATTCCTCACGCTGAGCCTGGCCCGCAGAGTGGGAAGAAACAAGCCTCCTGGACGCGGGCGCGGGCAGAGCCCGGTGGAAAGGGGCACAAGCCCCTAATCCGTTTTATTCTGGGAAGTATTTCGGCACCGCCTGGCTCTGCTCTGCGGTTTATCAATAGCCCTTTGTTGACTGGGGGTGGGAGGGTCTTTGCGCCACTGGGAAGGAAGTTACACTCCCCTCTGGAGCCCTTTACGGTGTGGTTGGCTTACCCTTGAGCTTTAGGTAAAGCATGAGTCTGAAAACCGCCTGGGTCTGGGGGACGAGGTAAATCACTTATGCACAGGCGACACTATCAGCGGCAAAAAGGCTCAGGAACACCACGGGCATCCCCACCTCACGCCCTGCACGGTTTTTCAGAACAAACCCGGCTCGGGCATCCAACAAATACTCATCTGCACCTCCTCCGACCCAGCCACTGTGCAGAGACGGGCCAGTGGGGGACAGAGAAACTCGAGAACAGCATGTAGGCCCGCACTGCGAAAGGTGACAGTGAGGGAGAGGCCTGGCCTGGGGACACCTGGCGGGGGGAGGGGGAGTGGGGCTGCTCCAGGAGGAATCTTGGGGGGCAGAGTGGGCGTGCCCCACGAAAAGCTGTTCTACGTGGCTGGGGGCGGGGTTAGAAGATGAGTGACAGGAAATGAGGTGGATATCAGGGCAGGTGTGATGTGGTCAAGTCCTCGCTGAACCGGATAAAGCCACTTGGTCATTATTCTATAGACACTTAAGGCCGAGAGGGTGGTGTGCACCCAGCCAATATCTGTCCAGCCCCCATCCATCCATTCACTCCCCATGCATCCATCCATCCGTCCGTTCATCCATCAACCATCATCCATCTACCCACCCATCTGTCCATCCATCCATCTTTCTAGCTGCCTACCAGCTGAATATACCCTACACCAGGCACAAGATTGTTTTTCTGTCGTTTTCTGGAGTCCTCAAGTCTTGAGGTTCCCACAGCAACTCCTTACATCAGGGGTCTCAAACTCATTTTCACCGGGGGGCCCCATCAGCCTCCCGGTGGTTGCCTTCAAAGGGCCGAATGACACTTTAGGACTGTATACAACAAGTAACTGCTCCTTAGCTAGGGGCAAGGAGCTTGGCGCTGCCGCCGGGTGGAAACAAGGTGGCGGGCCGGATAAAACAGGGTGGAGGGCCGGATGAAACAAAGTGGAGGGCCGGATGCGGCCCGCGGGCCTTGCGTTTGCCCCCTGCGCCTTACATCTATCCCACTGCAGAGCGGCTCGGCCCTGCCTGCGCCCCCCTGCGGACTGCTCAGGAGAGGGCGTTGTGAGAAACGAGGAATGACGTCGTCACGTGACAGCGAGACGCACCTGGTGGACGCTGGGAAAGAGGAAAGGCGGCGCGGCTAGGTGTGCTGACACAGGACGGCGAGGAAATGGCAAGCCCACAAATAAACATGTCAAAAGGCAGTGATGAAACTGTTACAGCAAATGGCAACCCACGGCCTCCCATAATTTTGATGTAGTTATGCCCTTAAAATAAAAAGATTAAGAATGCACTATTTAAAAAAAACTGTGGATTAACCTTTTTGTTTTGTTTTGTTTTGAGCTGGTGGGGGAAGAGAGGGAGAGCAGTGGTTTAGGTCTTAATCTTCTTAAATGGGTTCAGTTTTGTAAATACACTCTAGTGAACATCTTTCATTGTCCTTTCTGGTGAGACAAATTCACGCAGAGTATAGAAGACATCACACACACACACACACACACACACACACACACTACAAGGTAAACAACAACCACCCACATAACTATTTGCGGACACTTTAGTATAGTTCTTTCACTCTCTTGTCTCTGCCTGCTTTCAATTGAGATCATTCATTTTATTCGGCACTGACTGTGGCTTTCCCTCCCCCCACGTGACATAGGCAATGAGAACATACATGACATCTTTTTGAAAACACAGCCTTAGTGGCGAGGAAGTTTCCGTGTTTACTGAACCAGAATCCCTTTGAGTGGAAGGCTTAGGAGGTTTCCATTGCTTTGCTTTTATTAAAAGATGGAGACCACCCTTTTATCGTCTACCTTCTGTCAGAACTCTCATTACTTCCTTTAGGTAGAATTTTAGAAATGGAACAATGAAGAAAAACATTTTTTTTTTTTTGTAATGTGGAGACTTCGACCCCTCCGCCTTCTAAAAAGGCACCTGGCCTCCGTGGGGCTCTCTGGCCTGCCACGGACGGCGTCTCCCGCTCTCTGAGCACGAGCTGTGTGTCGCTGTCCGGCTGTCTAGTGAGCGAGCGTGCTGCCATGATGCTTCAGGGAGAAATTTGTGTTTAAAAAAAAAAAGGCAGAAATAGAATGAATGAATCGCCATCCTGCTTCTCTTTGGTTCCAAACCAAATCCATCATTTTCTAAGAAATCTAAAAGAAATAGCTCCAGCCCTGAGAGCGGTGTGGTTCACTTGGTGGGGCAAGGTCCCGCAGAGCGAGAGGTCGCCAGGGGGATTCCAGGTCAGGGCACCTGCCTGGGCTGCGGGTTCGGTCCTGGGTCAGGGTGCATGTGAGAGGCAACAGATGGACGTTTCTCTCAGACTTCGATGTTTCTCTCCCTCCCTCCCTTCCTCTCTCTGTAAAAGGAAAGAAGGAAGGAAGGAAAAAAAGGAAGAAATAAAGAAGAGAGAGGAAGGAAGAAGGAAGGAAGGAAGGGCAAGCTCAAGATCCTTTTATCCGAGTTTCTAATCCCGCTGCCAAGAATCTAAGTTTCACATGTAAAGTAGTGGAACCAGTTCCTGTTGAACTAGTGAGTGTCACACTCACTGGTATTCAGACCATTGCCATCTCTCCCCCAAATAGTGTCCCCCGCGCCTCCTAGAGCCACAGCCTGGCCAACAAGGTGTGGTGGGGGGGCTTGGCCGCCCCTGGGAAGGGGCTGGGGTTGCCGAAGGCGTGGGGGGCGGCTTTGGACGGGGCTCCGGGTGTGACCTGAGATGCCCCGGGTCCGACCGCCGGCCCTGCAAACCGGCGATCGCACTAACACGCTCCCAGCCTCGGTTTACTGGGGTGGAATGGGGGACGCGTCCCAGCGCGCACCCCCGGGAGCGTCGGGGCTGAGCGCCGTTCAGCACGGAGTGCGCACCGGCGCCGGCCCCGCCGCGGACGCGCGGAGCCCGCACTCACCTCCGCCGTACATCTGGCACAGGTAGGGGAAGCGCCACACATTGCCCAGGCCCACGGCGTACGAGATGCAGGCGAACACGAACTGCAGCGGGTTGGCCCACAGCGGCCGCGCTTTCTCCATGGCCCCCAGCTCGCGCGCTGGCTTCCCGCCGCGGCGCCCGCACGTCTGTTTCGGTGCGCGGCCGCCAGGAGCGCCGTCCTGCCCGGGCTCAGCTTGGGGGTGGCCAGCGCCGCAGACGCCCGGCCGCTTTTTAATTGCTAATCTCATTAACGGCGCGCCCGTCGGAGGGGCAAGGCTGGTAAATGGATGACGGCGAGCCCCACCCCGCCCCGCCTAGCTCCCGGGCAGGGCAGGGCAGGGCCGGCGGCAGCTGGCGGGATAGAGGGCGGCGCCCGGTCCCCTCGGGCTCGAAGTCGGGGCCTGTGGACGAGTGAGCCGTGGGCTCCTTGGAGTGGTCAGGCTCCCTCAGCCACCCGCGCATCATTTATTGAGGGCCCACTGCGCGCCAGGCGTTGGGGACAGGGCTGTGAACCTGCCTGCAGCTGACGTTCTAGTAGAGGGACTGGATAAAATGTCCCATTTTCAACGGTTATGGACCCAGGAACGGACGATTTCATCGGGTTCATTGTAGACCCCATGTAACACCGCGAGAAGCAAGGCAGGCAACTGAGGCAAAGCAAGGGGGGGTAGCGGCTTCAGAGGTGGGCGGGGCCGGCCCGGGAGGGCTTCCCGGAGGAGACGTGACTTTTGCTCAGGGACAGGAAGCAAGCAAAGGCCCGCGGCCCTGCAGTAATGCGGGGTCTGTCTGGCTTCGGTCTCCGCGGTGCCGCTGACTTCTCGGAGCCTCTGTTTCCGCACCCCTCATGGGAACAAACTTCACCCCTTCCCAAGGGCTCACGTGAGAACAGATGGGTAACTTAGCTACTCGGCACATAGTAAGTGCTCAGTAAAGGGGCCATGATTGTAAGTCCCTAGTAGGCTGCAGGAATCCATGTGCGATACACTATATAACACTTTGGACACTTTGGATGACACACTTTGGACAGGGCCTGGTCCGCGGTAAGAGCCAAGAACCTGCCTGGTAAGCAAATATGTACATACACCCCATTAAAAAGAAGTGAGAAGCCAAGTTGCTAGGGGAAGTCTTCCTTGAAGCCAAAGTGAAATCGCCACTTTGGGACAGTCCCTCGCTGGGCTTTCCTTGGAGTTCCTGCTTGGCTGGTGGCAGAGGGGAAGGGGGGCGTGGTGGGGAAGGTAGAGGCTCCTCAGACACATTGCTTGCCCTCGCACTTTCTACCTCCAGAAAAGCATAGCAGAAAAACCCAGCAATCCAGCAGGAGAAACTGTTGATTTTTTAAAAACTCTGGATTCTAGAGTGTTTTGTTTTTTTTTTACCCCTTGTCTTCTTCCCTGAAGGAACCCTGGTTTATATTGCTATAGGTTAGGTTTCAGCTGCTCTGACCTTTGCGTGAATGGACTCAGATGGTGTGTGTCCCTTCCGTGCCTGGCTTCATCTGTGGGGCTCGGTCATGTCCCTCCCGGTGTGCCGCTGCAGGCTGCTCCTGCTCACGGCTACGCAGTGCTCCGCAGCGTGGGTGCACTCTGGTCTCTGACTCGTGGATGTCCGTGTCGTCTCCAGTGTGGGGTTCTGATGAATGGAGTGGCAATGACATTCTGGCGCACGTCGTGGCTGGGCCATTCTGGGTCACGTGTGCCTGTGCCGGCCACAGTGGGTGCTGCCCAGCTGTTTCGAGAGAGGTTGTACCAGTTCACACTCCCACGGGGTTTGGTTTCTTTGCATCCTCACTGACTCGTCATTCTGCGTTGAAAGGCCTCCCCAGTCTCGCGCCTGCAACCTGTATAATTTTGTTAACCAGTGTCCCCGCAGTACCTTCAAGAAAAAAAGAACAAGTTCCACTCAGTGTAGGCAGTTAGACAGACGTGAGCAGAGAAAACACAGTGGGCCAGTTTCGGGAGGTCCCCAGGGCGGAGGGCCCTGGACGCCCTGGGCCGTGAGCAAAACTGGGAAGACGAGGCCCTCACCCCTCGGGTGACCTTTCCTCCCCTAGCTTATCGTGGATCGTGCATTTTGAACCCTCTGCATTTTTCTCCCTAAAGATAACATCTAGGCCTCCGCGGTATTTCAGCTCGAGGCCCAGAAATGCAGTGAAACCGGACAAGTGAAGCCACAGCTGCCTCAGGACCAGCTGCTCTGACTAACGACCCTGGCGCCAGCTAGTGGGTGGAGACCAGGGCCCGGAGAGAGCACAGCTGGAACACTGATGAGGATCTCCTGAGATCCTCCCTCGAGAGCGCCCCTGAGATCCTGCCCGTACGACACTCCCAGGGACCCCACGAGACTTGCAACCAGGGGAGCAGCGGGCAGCGGCAGCTCGTCCCAGGCTTAGCCCTTGAGCCTGTCTCCGGGACCCCCTTTCCTCCGACTTCCCAGTGAGCCCCAGCGGCCCCGCCTGGGCCCTCCTGTGGCTCCTTCTGTCCCAGGCCCTTCCTGGTTTCACTGTCCCAGCTTTATAGCAAACGTCCTTCTGACCGTGCTTTTGCCATGGCCGACAAATGGTTGCTATACTGTACTTATCTCTTGACTGAAACCTTTCCTTTGCAGACATAGATGGCTCACTGTGGCTTTGAATTCTATTTTTTTTAACGTGCATATATTTTATTTTTTCATTATTTGTACCATATATTTTGCATTACCATGTATCCCCCTTGTACCTTCTTCCACCTCCATGCAACCCCTGCCCCCCCCAATCACCACACCGTTGTCTGTGTCCAGAGTCCTTCTTTTTCTCTTTTGCAATCTGCCCGCCATCCTCCCCTCAACCCAGAGGGCAGCTGCCAGCCTGCTCTCTGTCTATGAACCTGTTTCTGGTTTGCGTGTTAGTTCAGTGTGTTCATTAGATTCCACGTAGGAGTGAGATCACATGGTATTGTCTTTCTCTGACCGGCTTATTTCACTTAGCATAGTGTTCTCCAGGTCCATCCATGCTGTTGCAAAGGGTAAAATTTTCTTCTTTTTTTTTTATGGCCGAGTAGTATCCCATTGTATAAATGTCCCATAGTTCTTTTATCCACTCATCCACTGGGGGACCCTTGGACTGCTTCCAAATCTTGGCTATTGTAAATAATGCTGCAATGGACACAGGGGTGCAAATATTCTTTCATTAGCGTTCCGGGTTTCTTTGGATGAATTCCAAGAAATGGAATCGCTGGGTCGTAAGGCAGATGCATTTTTATTTTTTTGAGGTAACTCCACGCTGTTTTCCACAGCGGCTGCACCAGTCTGCATTCCCACCGACAGTGCACGAGGGCTCCCCTGTCTCCACACCCTCCCCAGAGCTTGCTGCTTGTTGATTCATTGATGATAGCCATGGTGAGGGGATATCCTAGTGTAGTTTTAATTTGCATGTCTCTGGCGATTAGTGACGCTGAGCATCCTCTCATGTCCGTTGGCCAGCTCTATGCCCCTCCCCCGATGCCGGGAAGGCTGCACACCTTTCTTTCCACAGGATAATGGGTTGTTTGGACATCGTCTTTCAGGAAGTGCGTGCTCAGGCCTTTTGCCAGCGTTTAATGGGCTTGTCTTCTTCCCCCTGACTTCCGGCTCCTTCTGTATTCCAGACTCGGACACGAGTCCTCTGTCAGTTTCACATCTTGCCCCTTTCTGCTCTGAGCCTGTGAGTTGCCTTGTTATTGCCAGTGGTGTCTTCTGATGACCGGATGATCTTAATTTGAACAAGGTCGAAGTTACCAATCTTTTCCCGTAGGGTTCTCCTTTTAGTCTGAAATGTACACGTCCTGTTGCAGGAATGTCTCCTTTACCAACAACCATATCATGGAGATATTCCTGAGAACTTAAATTTGTGGCAGAGTCAGTCTCAGGAATCCAGAGATAGGGCTGTCTTTGTCATGTTGTTGAGTAGTTTGTTTTTTTTTTAAGATTTTATTTATTTTTAGAGAGAGGGGAAGGGAGGGAGAAACAGAGGGAGAGAAACATCACCCGTTGCCTCTCGCACACAGCCAACCGGGACCAGGCCGGCAACCCAGGCATGTGCCCTAATCAGAAATTGAACCAGCGACCTTTTGCTCTGTGGGATGTCGCCCAACCATCTGAGCCATGCCAGCCAGGGCTGTTGCTGAGCAGTTTAGAAGGAGGCACGTTGCTGCCTCCAGCTTATCTGCTTCCCACACTCTCGTTCTCACAAATGAGTTTCCCCCAGCTGGCACCTGGCTCCTCGGGGCATGGAGGAGCTGGGCGCCTCAGAGGGATGCCCTGCAGAATGTCTGCCACCTGGGACAGGAGGCTTCTTGGACTTCGTGGGTTTCACAGGAGCAAGGCCCCTCTTCCTCTCCCCACTCTCGTCGGGATCAGCCCCCCCCCCTCCACTCATGCGGCCAGGCCTCCCAGAGCCTGCCCAGGGCCTGCAGCCCCCAGTGGGGCGGTGGGGCGGTGGAGCACAGGGAGACCCTCCCAGACAGTCCCGCAGCAGGACCTCGTCGGCGGGGGCAGACGCTCAGAGCTGCTCACATCTTCCTGCAACCCCCCTGAGCTCTCTCATCTGATCCAACCTGAACCTGCTCTGGCTGCTGGACGTGGAAAGAACAGGCCTGGGAGGGGTGGGGGTGCGTCCGCAGGGAGCTGGTTGAGCAGGCGGTGCAGTTCGGCCGGGTGGCTGACAGTCAAAGCTCTGACTGGTAGCCTTCGCCAACGTCCGAGGTGTAAATATTCCCACAATTCCCAGCTGCCAGCTCCCAGCCTGGAGCCCCTGAAGGTGGAGTTGGGGAGGGGCACCCCGCTGGGTGGACTCGCCACCATACCTCTGCAAAAGCTCACCTAATAGTGTGGTAAATAATTAGGAGGTGGGGGTGTGGGGCATTTATCACCTCCGTTTGAAATCATTCATGTAACTTAGTTTTAAAATAATGGCCCTGTTTAACCATCAGCTCACAGATTCATGATGGGGCACCCGTGGGCCCCCGCCAGCCTGTCGGGGCTGGCCTCAGCACCCCTGACCCCCCAGGCCCCGGGGCCAGGCAGCTGCTCCGTGTGGCAGAGCTGCCAAACCAGACACAGCTCCTGGGAGGAGGACAGGTGCTATCTGATCCCCAAAAGAGGGTGGGGACAGAGGGGACGGCCGTGGCTCGGCCGCATGGGTGTGGCGGTGGCCTGGCACCAGGGTGTCAGCTTCCTGCTGCGCAGGCGTGCTTACCCCAGGGAACCCACGGCG